ACTTTATAAACAAACACAGAGGGCAGAAACAATGTCCTGACACCTGCTCACCAAGGCTACATTTATTTGATTAAAAATACAGTAAAAACAGTAAAATTGTGAAATATTATCACTATTAAAAAGATTTGTTTTCTATATCAATATATTGTAAAATGTTATTTATTTCTGTGATTTAAAGCTGAATTTTCAGCATCATTACTCCAGTTTTCAGTGTCACATGATCCTCCAGAAATCATTCTAATATGCTGAAACATTTCAAATGTTAAAAACAGTTCCTAGTTTTATGGAAACTGTGATGCATTTGATTTTTCAGGATTTTTTAATGAATAGAAAGTTCAAAAGGGCAGTACATATTTGAAATAGGAATCTTTTGTAACATTATAAATGTCTTCACTTTGGATGGGATAAATGCAGAGCACTAATTCCGAGTATGGGTCACCATACTTGGCCACGTCACGTCACTTTTTTTTCACTTTATAAACAAACACAGAGGGCAGAAACAATGTCCTGACACCTGCTCACCAAGGCTACATTTATTTGATTAAAAATACAGTAAAAACAGTAAAATTGTGAAATATTATCACTATTAAAAAGATTTGTTTTCTATATCAATATATTGTAAAATGTTATTTATTTCTGTGATTTAAAGCTGAATTTTCAGCATCATTACTCCAGTTTTCAGTGTCACATGATCCTCCAGAAATCATTCTAATATGCTGAAACATTTCAAATGTTAAAAACAGTTCCTAGTTTTATGGAAACTGTGATGCATTTGATTTTTCAGGATTTTTTAATGAATAGAAAGTTCAAAAGGGCAGTACATATTTGAAATAGGAATCTTTTGTAACATTATAAATGTCTTTACTGTCACTTTTGATCAATTCAATGCATCCTTGCTGAAAAAAAAACTGTACAATTTAATCAAAATAATAATTTTTGAACTTTTAAATTGTAGTGTAGTTCAGCCCCTGCTGGTCAATGTTGCAACTGCAACATTCAAAATCAAAAAAGGTGCATATAAAAACATAGGATATAAACAAAAGTAAGCAAACATATATGTGTCGCTGTCTGCTGTGTGTTTGAGTTACTCACTACTGTTGACTCAAAGGAATCAGGTATTTTCAACCAGTTCTTTCCAACAAACTGTCCAAACAAACAGACTGACTCAAATAAACCAGGCTTCCCGATGCTCTTCCTCACTGCTGGCGGCTTCAGAGGGATTTCGTGTTTTCAGGAAAGATCAGAATTCCTGATCGGATGAAGTCCTGGACCGTGGAACAGTCCAGAAGCACACAGCCAATGGAAAGCTGCTCCTCGCGCTAAATCCTATTAGTGGCTCTTATCTGCAGTCCGCTGCTCCTTAAAACTCTCCGTAACCGCTTTATACCACACATTTAAATGAAATTGAATACAAAGAATGTTTTAGTGAGTTTCTTGTCAATTTAGAATAAGTGAAAACACTTACTGAACTCAAAAACTTATTTGGACACCAGGCTTATTATAGTTTAACTAAAATAAAATCAACTTTTTTTTATTTCTGGTAGTTGCCAAGTTGCAAACATTTCTCATTTTAATTAATTTGATGTACTGAAACTGAAATTAAAATGAATGAGAGAGAGAAACACCCATCAAAATTACTACAAATGTAAAATTAAAATAAAAAAATATATAAAAATTGTATTGAAATTTTAATTTGACTCAAATTTATTAAAAAACATTTATGTTGCTTGAAATAAAATACACATTAACTAGATTAAAAATTATATATTGGCAAGTTAGCAAGGCAACATTTCCGATTTTATTTCAGGACGTGCTAAAATAACTAAAATTAAAATTAAATAAAAATTAATAAACAATGATGTAGACATTATATATAAAAAACTACTAAAACTGACAAAAACTCACAACAAAATTAATGAAACCTTAACTAAAATTAAAACAGAAAATATATATTTAAAATGGATTCAAAACATTAATATTATTATTAATTTTAATGAAAACTATAATAGTATAATACTTGGACACTCAAGTCACTTTGTTTTCATATTTTATTGCATTATATTTGTCTTATTATCATATATTATATTTGGATAGAGACATTATATTCCGTTTTAAATTTTATTATTATTATTATTATTTACATTGTTCTTCTACCTTTTGCCTTAATTTCCTTAATATTTTACATTTACATTTATTATACATATTAGTATATATAGTATACGTCTCTTTTTCGTGTGCTTGTGGTGTTTCTGTACAGTAAACAGTACTTGCTTGTCAAATGCAGTGACATTCAGAGTCTAAGACTTTAATAGCAGCTCATTTTATGGCAGATGTTGGTTTTGTGTCAGTTTCGCTGACGTCCGTTGCTCACGGCTCGTTTCACCTCTTATCAGTGCTCCTACCAGAGGTTAAAATAGGGCTTGTTAGGGCGTTTTTTTTCCAGCAGCCGTCCACTTCCCCGAGCGCAGATGCCTCCCTTCCCTCCGTGTGTGTGTGTGTGTGTGCTTGAGGAAGTGAAGGCTGGGGTTCATGGGACGGTCACGATCACACCCCTGTACACTCTTCCACCCGAGATGGTCCTCACTGCAAAACACAAGATCCAGGGGGCGTGGTTGGATCCTGATCCAACTCCTCCCACCTTACATATACCTAAACACACCCATATACACCCCCTGATCCCTAAACCCACCCATCTCCACCCCTAAACCTACCCATCTCCACCCCTAAACCTACCCATCTCCACCCCTAAACCATTCCCAATCTCCACCCCTAAACCTACCCATCTCCACCCCTAAACCTACCAATCTCCACCCTTTAGATGTGGATCCAACCACGCCCCCTGGATCTTGTGTTCTGCCGTGATGGGCTACTGTGCCACCCAGCACTTGCACTCTCACATGCTTTCTTTCACTGCGTCAGCACTCAGACTCCGCCCTCCGCTCCGGACAGAGGCCTGTGATTGGCCAGCAGACCTCCACCCCTCAGGGCCAGATCAGACGCTCTGACTGACGGAGATGAACAGACTGAGGTTTATTCAGATGGCGTCGTGTGGAGATCAGAGCTGTTATACAGGAATACGTCTGGAAGATCTAGAAACACACACACACACACACACACTTCATTTCACAGGCTTTTCTACTAACCATTAAACTTGTTTAAGTGACTGTTTACTTTCTGTTCTTTGCAGGTGCAATATTGAAATAATGTTTAATCGTAGCCTAGTCTAATCTTTCTCTGAATATATTCTCTTTATTCTGTTTGCTATAGATAGATGATCCTAAATGATTGTAAATGATGACTAATTATTATATTAATAACATAATATAGTAATATAGTATATTTAGTACATAATAAATATAGTATTATATGTTTTATTATAGTTAGAGATTATATTACTTTATTATACTATTTTAAATACTAATAATACTTATTAGAATTATATTAATATTTATTATGAATTAATAATATATTATTTATTATATATTATGTATTGTCTTGAATATTTCTTATCCTACTTGTAGACCCTAAACAGTCACTCATAATTATACTATATGATAACATATTATTATTATTATTGGATTTTGTCTCATAAGCATGAACATGCATAATATGATCATTTAAAGGCAGTCAAGATAAGTCAATATTATCATTACATCTCACTCAGAAAAAAAGTCCTGAGTCATGTTGGCCGTTTGACCGTCATAAAGCGGGTCTTGATCGGGTCAGTTTAGATAAAGTCGTTCATGATTTACTGTCTACTGGTTTGTAATCTGGCAGGGAAACACACACACACAGAGAGAGAGAGAGAGAGAGAGCTTCGTCAGGCTTAAGCAGCAATCTGGGTCATGACAAAACCTCCCATTGCTTACAGCTGTGACCTCTGACCCCTGCTGTGTGTTTCTGTACAGCTCCTCATATTCATTTTGCTGCGGCTCATGAAGGACAAGTAGCTTTTGAGTTTAATTGTATATTCTGGTTGTGTGATTCAGAGTGTCTGCGTTACGTGCAGTTAAAGTTGTGTTAGTGTGTGTTTCAGTAGGATTTTGTGTGTGTGTGTGTGTGTGTGTGTGTGTGTGTGTGTGTTTGATTGCGTGTGTGGACGTTTGCCAGCTCCTGGCTCTCCGCTCCTGTTTAATGACCCTTAAATCAGTCAAGAGTTTAATTTGATCTTCTAATCCTTCACTAACGAACACACACACACACACATTCACAACACACTCGCTTGCTCTTGTGTTTGACGTCAATCAATCACGCAGTCACCTTTACTGCATCAGTGTGCATGCAGTGTGTTTTTAAGGCAATAAGCTTAGTTACTTACATTATTATATTAATATATTACATTATTATATATAAGTAAATGTATTTATAAAATAATTTAAAAATCATATTATTATTCATATTATTATTTTGTAGTTCAAATTATATTATAAAACAACAACTAATAATGTAATAATAATAATAATAATAATTGTTTATATACAATTATGTAAAATTATTTATTACTATTATAAAACAATATATATATATATATATATATATATATATATCTCGTTATTTATAAACATACAAATATTATTATTATTAGTGTTACTTTGTAGCGAAAATTATAATAAACAACTATAAAACTAATATTTATTTTTATAGTATTTTTTATTAATCATTATTACTTATTGAGATGAGTATTATTTCGATTTTTAATCCAATTTTAAATATTTGTAAATATGTGCGTCTATAAGGTGGGTTCATGTGTCCACTAGTGGTATTGCACATAACCAAAAATCAACAGGACATGAAACTTGATCCTTTTTTTTTTTTACTTTTTAAAATAAATTTCTCTGGTCTAATAAGCATTTTATAATGATGTTAATGTTTTAATTATGCTATTTCTTTTATATAAAGAAAACTTGCTGAGCAAGTTTCCTTTCTATAATGCTAATAAACATGTTTAAACAAATCCTGATTGGTTTTCTCTCTTCTCTGTCTCGGTCTTTCTCCCTCAGTTCTCTCCTCACGTGACACACCCAGTCCCATAGATCCAGACTCCATCCAGGTTCCGGTCAGGTACGAGCCCGACCCCGCCGACCTCGCCCTCTCCAGCGTCCCGGGACAGGAAATCTTCGACCCACGCAAGTGCAAATTCTCAGCAGAGGAGCTGAAGCCGCAGCCCATGATCAAGAAGGCGCGCAAGATCTTCATTCCAGAGGACATGAAGGTAAACATAAACACTGAAGCATGACGCGCAAAGAGACGACAGAGAGCAGCCAATCAGAGAGTTAGTCACGAGTCATGTGACTGTAGGCTAAATCTAAATCTGTCTAAAAACATGTCAGAAAATGTAAAAAATAATACTTTTTTTTTTGGTTGTTTTTAAAGAATTTTTGCGGAATAGAATCTTTAGTGGAATTTTGTCACCAGCGGAAATTCCAAACGGCAGTGTTAATTTCGTTGATGGATTATTTTCGTCATAATTTTCATCAACAACATTTTCTCACCGATGAAAACGAGACGATTACTAAAAAAAACTGTTTTTAATGACAAAAACAAAAACTAAAATATACTCTAATTTCTGTTAACAAATAAAAACGAGACGAAAATGTTAGGGAAGGACGATTTGGGAAGATATACAGACTCAGTCAGGACTAATGTTTTACGTGGTAGTTACGAACATTAACCGCGAGAAAACGCGGCGCTGTGGCGCGCTCTACAGGCTCACGCAGCAGCGCTTCTGACTGCTTCAGTGCGGGTTGTAATCAATGAATAGCGTGCATTTATGCGAAGCGATTTCTTATGAACTAATGTTGATGAATTATGACAATGTTTACTATACAATATTTATATGGTAATATGTTTTAGACGGTTGTAAGAATCTGAACTTGAATGAGTAGCCTGAAACTGTACAGTCAACAGTGCAGACATTTCAAAATAAGAGTCACAGTGTATTTCAAGCTTTTTTCCTGGTGATTATTGATATTTTGGGTACATAAACTGTATTTAGTTTATTTAATTTAATTTCAATTTAATTAACAACTATTGTAGCTTCGGTCTGGGATTCCCCATCACAGGATGGACAGACTAAGAACATCAAAATATTATTTCATAAATACATTTGACTAGTATCAGGTTTTTATAGTTAAAACTAAAACCATACAAATATTCTTCATTAATTGGAATCAAATAAATGTTAACTGAAATTATAAAACAAATCTATAGAATAGGAAATAAATATCTAAAATACATCAATTAAAAAAAAAACGTATTTTATTTCATTTAGTTTATAAGCTTTAGCTTAACCTGATGTACTAAAATAAACAAAACAGAAATAAAAAATAATAATAATGCATTACAATTTAACTAAACCCTTTAGATATTAGTCGACTAAATCTACTTCAAATTTAGTCAACTAAAATTGTATGATATTTAGTCGGCTAAAACTAGACAAAAACTAATTCAGATGACTAAAACTAAATCAAAATTTGCTGTCAAAATTAACACTGCCAAACGGATAACTCGTTTTTCATTTGTTTCTCTCTCTCCATCTCCACACAGGACGACAGATACTGGGCACGGCGCAGAAAGAACAACTTCGCAGCCAAACGCTCCCGGGACGCTCGCCGGGTGAAAGAGAACCAGATCGCCATTCGTGCGGGATTCTTGGAGAAAGAGAACATGGCGCTCAGACAGGAAGTGGCCGACCTGCGGAAGGAACTCGGCCGCTGTAAGAACGTTCTGGCCAAATACGAGGCGCGGCACGGCCCTCTGTGAGCCCCTCCCACCTCACACAAACCCCGCCCCCGAGCCCCTCCCACCCCGCACAAACCCCGCCCACCTCCACAAATGCCCTGCCCACCACCAACCCCCCAGGGACTTCTGCGTGCCTCTTTAAGAGGCGACAAATTCTCCTCTTCTTTTTTTTTTCACGTTTCTCTTTTCACTTTTCTCTTTACAAACCCAGTTTGCGTTCTTTAGTTGATTTTGTATTTCATGTGTGTGTTTTTCCTCTTGTGTAGTTTCACACATTCACTTCTCTCTCTTTCCTTTTATTTGTTCCGTTCGTCCATTTATTCCTTCACCAACGATGGATCGTTTATCTGGAAATGATTTTCTCTGGAGTGTTTTATACACCTGTAACATGGACTGATAAATATTTTCCTCGCCGCTCGCCCTCCTGTCTGTCAATCAACCGCTCGGCCCACCCCCCTCTTCCCAGAGGCTCCGCCCACTTCCTGTTGCTCGAGCTTCTTTTTGCGTATATTAATGTATTTTAGTTGAATAGCTGTAACGCACCGACACCTTTCGTTCTGTGAAGTGTGTAAAACACTAGCTAGCGTCAGAACATGATGTTTGTTTTGTTCTTTTCCTATTCTATGTGTTTTGTCTGTTTTATTTCACCATTTCTTTTAAACCAACACCAGCGTAGTTTTTGGCGTCTTTCCCACATTGTCCATAGAGCAATAAGCCTGAATCTCTTCAGAGGGCAAAACACATGAAATGTAAGCTAGCCTGTTTCATAGCGCCATAATTTCTGCTGTAGTGCGGAAACTTTCCCTTCAAAACTTTCCCTCCAAAAATGCTGAGTCCATATTTGTCTGTCTTTCTGTCTCGCTCTAACTCCCTGCACTAATGCGTGTTTCACAATCTGATCTGGTGCAATGTTTCTACCTACACTATAATCTGCCTGATATATTTATGGACTTTCGTTTTATTTTATTTTTTTGAATGGAAGAAATTTTTTCAAAAATATTCAGCTGTTAATTACTACTATTGTTATAGCTGTTCTTATTGTTATGGCTGTATAGTAATTTTTCCTGATTGTTTATTGTTTTATTGCATATTTCAGCATGACTTTGCAGAGTTGCAGCCTAAATCTAATTGTGAATGGGTCTTTTTCTTTTCTTTTTTCCCTTCTTTTTTAGGATGGATGATTATTCTATCCTATCTTTTTATTTTTATTGTTATAATTTTTTTTTTTTACCCAGAGCATGTTTTAGAATTTTCATTTGTCAGTACAAGCAGATATTTGTAGTGATTTATTTTCCTTTTTGTTTTGTAGCTTCGCATGTCTGTCGGCTGTATGACTGTAATGAATGTGTTTTAAGAGGTTTTGAGCCGTTCGTTGAGCAGGACGGTGTTGTCTCAAATACTGTGGTTGAAATCAGTTTGTTTACTGCAGACCAAAAGATACAGCACACAGATTTATTGATAAAAACAGAGTTTTAATGTTTATATATATATATATGAAATCTATTCTAAGTTGCTTTTTTTGTACAGTATTTTTCCTATATAATACTGTGTGAATATTTTCAAGGCACAACAAATCCAGAGTAGTGCAAGATAAATATATGATAGCTTACATATATATCTATTATTCAAAGCTAAGTGACATAGTGTTTTGATATTATGAAGTATATAACTGGGAGTAAATGCGAAACCCGCCATCATGTCCTCTATTTTGGGCATTAAAAACCTTCTGCACCCTCATATTCAAATAGCCTTTAGTATTCTGTCTCAGGGAACGCTAGCAGCCGGACCTCAAACCATAACTCGTAATAAATATTAAATATATCTATATATATATTGCTGTGTTCTGTACATCAGTAGTTTTTTCCTATAGGAAGGAGCTGCAATTCCTCAGTCTAACTCACACTCTTGATGCTGTGTTTCATTACAGAGCATTTTACAGTATTGCTATTGGTTCTTTGAATGGAAATCTAAAGGCTATGCTTTTTTAGTCTATATAATTGAGTCTTTTTCACAGCAGAGTGTTGATATTGAATGTTTAGTGCGGCAGCTCTGAGCGCTTTTGCTTGGTTGAATGTTAGAAAAGTCTTGTTGTCGATGGAGTCACTGGGTTTGAGTACAAGGTTTCGTAAGGTTCTGTAAAAGTTTTTTTTTTTTTTTTCCTGGTCTGAGATCAGTTTGTATTCTGTTTATTCTATTAGAAGTTACAGGGTTTAAATACAGGACTTCTGATTTCAGGTCAGAAGTTGCGTTTGATGCGCTGGTGACTTTGTCGACAGTAAAAGTCCTCGTCTGCCCCAGTTCAGGCCAAAGTTGAGATGAGCACAGATTTGTATTATTGAAGATTGATGGGGAAGAAATGACGCTGTTTTTTTTATTATTATTTCATTTAATTTCCCTTGATTTTCTTCCTCATGTCTGTTTGTTTGTGGTATAAATGCAGATGTGAGACACGTGTATAAAGCCCTGTGTAGTCTGTTTCTATCTGTGCAAAACTGAAATAAATCCAGGATTAAGCCAAACTGCTTCTCGTGAATAATGACCCCCGAAAATACCATTTCACCAATGTGTTCCTCTCCTTGTTAGATGGGAAAGTTATTTCAGGTTAAATAGGTTTGAGTCTTAGGCCACCATTTATGCTTCCTTCATGTGCTATCAAAATTATCGTAAATATTAACAAATTGGACATGAACTGCCTATCAGGTTGTAGTTATGACTGGGAAACCATTTTGATACCTGATTTTCCAAGTTGTGCGAATCATACATTTTAAACATGGCGGAGGAAAGAACTATTGTTGTAGTGATGGTTGTAACTAACGAAATTTCGCACGCACAAAATATCCATTTGCAATTGTCACGCAACTGTATATAGCATTGCTCACACAGAAATCCTATATCATGTAACCAACTTGAAAATGAACATTTTCGCTATCACGCGTGGAATCCTATTGGAATGATTGGATTTCGCACGCGAATTTTCGCTGGGAAAAAAAACGGTGAATGTGACTGCATTGTCCATATTGACATATAACAAATTGGTGTGTATTGTTATGTATGTTACACAGCGAAAGCAGCATATTTCACTGAAAGTAGCAAGCCATCTCGATATTTAGCGCGGATTGTGAACGAACCGGATTTTATTCAAAATATGATCACATTCGACATCAAAGCAGCTGAACTCGATTAATTCGTTATTAACCAACTTCAGAAATTAGAAATTTCTGATAGCACGTGAAAGCGGCATTAGACCAGAAACAACTCAAGCTGGACAGTTTGGCAATCTTGCGTAATCTTATAAATTCATGTTTGCAGTAGGCTATTCCCTGTTTTCCAGGACACCGCAGTGAGATTGTGTGAAACTGCTTGGCGTCTTTCTTTGGTAAAATTCCCCACCTCAGTCCTGAACGGAACCTATAACCATATTGAACCTGTTTAGTCCAGTGCCTTGAATTGCAACATACGATTCCACACACATTTTAAAGCTTAAATTACTTGGACCGGATCGAACATGCATGGAAAGGGCTCCCGCGCTGCTCCAATCAGACTGACCCCAAAATTTCTTTGTCTTGAAAAGACAAAAACCGCCGTATTGAAAGGCAACACCTGCAGACAGTCTATGAGAGAGACTCAAAGCTGGAGATGTTTGCTCTTGTGTGTCACGCAAATGGAAGCAGAAACCTGAACCTTTACTCTCTGCTGCCACCTTTTGACTCCTTGTTTCTCTGTACATTTTAGAGTCCAATAAAGACTTCAGATTTTCTCTCAACGTCTGTGATTGTCTTTTTTCATAACTTGGTTTGTCTGAATTCTAGACATTAGCCTATTTGTTCTATTTAGGAATTATAGGATCTAGGAATTATAAACATTTGCGATTAAAATCAGGTTGGGTATATTATTTTGATTAAAATAATTCAAAAAGTTTTTGTTTGTTTTTCTTATAGGAATAACATGCACTGATAAATCACTCCAAAACATTATTTCAGTACATAAATTATTATTACACATGTATGATTAATACATGTATAATTAGTATACATGGATTATTAATAATATAATAACAAATAACATGAAACAAAATACAATATAGCAATAAAATGTAATTATGTTTTAAAAAATATAATAAATATATTTCTCCTTTATATCAATACTTTTTTTGCATTTAGATTACTTTGCTAATACATTTGTCTCTAAACAGTACATTTCTTTACCGATTTCTATTCAAAATAAGCGGTTTCAGTAATTTCACTATAAACTCTCATTTCATAACATTAACACACTGTATTAACATGAAGTAACAATATATTTTTTTCAGCAATTATTAATCTTTGTTAGTTAATAACAATACAGTTGCTCATTGTTCACATAAGTTTCCAGTGCATTAAATATTAACAATAACATGATATTAACATTTTGGTAAATATTCAATGATGAACGTCGAGATTAATGAATGCTACAGAAGTACTAATTTATATATATATATATATATATATATGTATTACTGTAGTCGTTATTTATTTTAAATATACATATACTTATATATAATAATAATAAAAACGCTATAGTAATGAGAAGAAAAACATCATGAGAATGACAACGCAAAAAAAAAAAAAAAAAAATAAAAACAAACATAATGGTCCTAAAAATAGTATGCTTTAGTTTCTTGCAATGCAACTGCAATTTTACTGATTCAACTTTTTTTTTTTTTTTTTGCAATTCAACTTTTCAAGATTTGGGGGTGAAATCTGACCCGTTTTTGTCATTTTCATCATAACAGACACAGGATGTTATTGTAGGATGTCATTCAAAAGTCATTGGCTAACACTTCTTAATCACAAGCCCATCGAATATTGTGCCAAATTTGAGAAACTTCACAAAATGTCTTTAAGGTGGTTCAGGCGGTGAGATAAAACATCCTATAGCATCATAAACCTGGTTGTGCAGAGAAGCATTCAACATAGTTTCTATCCGCCATCAGCCTGCAAATGGAGTATGAAAGAGAAGTGGTTCTTCCTGTTAGAAAAGTGCTGCTTAGAAAAAAAGCTCTGTGCAACACTTTCAAATCCTGCTGAAAGAGCAGAAACACGGGGGAAGGAGACGCCAGGAGTGTAGAAAACCACTAGCGCTTTGTAGAAAACAACTAGCGTACGTCTGAAGTAAAAACCCAGTGAGTTGAGATGCAAAAATACAGATTTGATACAGAAAGTCGCACGAGTAAAGAAAAGTAATTCACTACAGATGATATGAAACTGCTACTGAGTGTGTGTGTGTGTGACTGAATGCACGGAAAAATCATTAAATATCAAAAAGAATCACAATTCATCTGCTTCCAGTGGAATATATTTACAAAATACTGATGAAAATGGGGAAAACACACAAACATTGTCGTCTTGGTGCAACTGTGGCAAATGTGCATTCAGGACTGCGACACACACACACACACACACACACACACACACACTTCACTGATCCCAGTTGGTTAGAAAACCGTAAACATTGCATGGTCGTACTGGTAAACGTTGGTGTTTGGAGCATCCGGTTGTGATGTTTTGGTGATGGAGGAGGAAATGATGAGGGAGAGGAGCTCAAGCATCCCTGATGTCCTCCAGCGGGGGACTGCGGTACAGGTACTTCCAGATGGCGTAGTAGTGGATGGCGGCAGCAAGAGCCACGAACACGTGCCAGATGGCGTGAGCGAACGGAATCACACCGTCTGATTTGAAGAAGACGACACCCAGGCAGTAGACCAAGCCTCCGAACGCCAGCTCATACAGCCCGTCTGTGTTACTCTGATCAAAACCAGAACCAAACACAGTTACTGACATGAAAAACATCGAATAAAGTTGTGTTTTTACACATTTGACAAATTGAAAACCAGGCAAAAATCCATAAAACTAAAAGGTTCCAAAAAGGAACATTGATGCCATAGAAGAACCATGTTTGGTTCCACAAAGAACCTTTCAGTGGTCAGTTCTTAAAATAAGCATTTTATCTTAGTGAAGAACATTTTAAAACCTCTTTCCATGATAAGCAATGGAAAGATTGTTAAAGGTTCTTCATGGAACCATGTGTGTCAAGTTCAACTTCACAGTTGCGAGTGAAAGGAGAGTTTTATAATGACAGGACACGCATTTATACAACACTTTATTCAAATGGAAGAACCGCTCGTTCCGCGCGTAATACGTCATTACGCTAGTTCTGCGTCATTGCACATGCGCAGTCCTTTCAGTTTCGGGGTTCAATCCGATCGAGTGTTTACATGCACTCTCAATCGTATTAGAAAAGGAATAAATCACCCCCTTCAATCCGATCTTTTCAGTCCGATTGAGCCGTCAATCCGATTACAAATGGATTATTTGGTTGCATGTAAACGTAGCCATTTTTACATTTTCTACAATTGTTTTATTCTACAACAAAAGGTTCTACATAGAAGCATCAATGACAATAAAGAACCTTCATTTTTAAGAGTGTAATCTACTATATTTACATCTCAGATGTGTAAAAGGTAATTTAACAATGTTTTGATGGTGTTGCATATGGAGTGCTGCAGGAATGAAGTATTTTTGGAGGCCGACACCCTGAAACGAGTTCACATTTGAACAATTCAATGGTTTTTTTTTAATGGATTTTTGATTTAATGCCTGAAATAGGGTCGGTGGTTAACACAGGTTAAGTTCAGGGTTAAGCTCAAGATATTGTCATGTTTTATTCTACAAAAAAAAATACACTAGCAATATGCCCCTGTGATTTTTTTCTGAAACTTACTTGTCTTGAAAAAGGCAGTTAATAAGGATTAAAAGAGTTATTAGACGCTTAACAATGGTGACGTTGAAGTCATGTGACCATGGTGCAGTTTATTTATAGCCAACGTTTAGCTTTTTACTTCTGCTGACTGCATTTAGGCGTCAAAATTCATAAACGTTGTGAAGATTTGATGATGAACAGAACGTGTAAGAATCGTAAACTTTTGTTGGTCACAGAGGTTATTTTTTTTGCAATAATCCAAAAGCCAAAGGAAAAGTTGAGCTTTGAATGCAGGGAGTTTTATTTGGTGCCCCTGGATTTTTTTCAAGCACGTGTAACTACTGCTCCTAACCACAAGGTGGCGTCAGTGTCTGTGACATGAGACACATGCTGTATTTTGTATGTAATGAACACAGAGCTGCTGCTGTTTTTGACTCGAACATCAAACAAACCCGAAGTAAAGGTTATCAATAGTGATTACATTTCAAAGCATCTCTGTTTGCTTACTACACCGAACCCAAGTCTTTATTGTATTGTACAATGCACACTGTACACACGTGCTGTATTTATACTGTATATGTAAGGGTGAATCTCACAAAAGCTGTCAAACTATGCCTGGATCATATTTCACCTAGAAGTCAAAAGAAAACACAAGTAATAATGAAAATTGATATATGAATCATATGAATATATGATTATATTATATTTTTAATATTAGTATTGTTTGTAAGTAATACAGCAAAAAAAACCTGTGGTTACAAGACAGAAAAACATTTATAAGTCCATTACATTAACGTAGCTGTTACACTACAAAAAAAATTTTTTTTTAAATGACACTTTTTATTTTTATCTCAACTCATGAAAAATAATCTTAAATATAAAAAAAAAAAAAAAGTTTAGAATAATTAAAAATATGAATATTACAGTATTTTTCATAAGTAATACATTAAAAATGACTGGGATTACATGAAAGGAAAAAAGATCTCTGAGTGCATTATATTAATACACTTATTACACTACTTAAATTCCAAAATTTATTTTGTGATTAAACTCTCCTAACATGTATATTTATATACAATTTGAGTTGAATTACTGAAATAAATGAACTTTTCCACGACATTCTAATTTATTGAGATGCACCTGTATATATATATATATATATGTGATATATATGATTTTAGGGTAAACTATGACCTGGAATTTTTTGGGGATATTCACATGTAATTGTCCATGTGGTAACAAAGGTTTTATTCAATTCTAATCAGGTGTATCAGTGACTCAATTCAAATGCTGTTGTGTTTGATTCTGAATTGCTGAAATCCCAGCTCAAGCATGAGTCGGTTGCATAGTGAACATTTCAGGTGTGACAGGTTAACGTGAACAGCCTGAGGACTCAAAAACTGGGTCAAAGGTGAAGGTGATCAGATTTCCTTCAAGGGAAGGTTGGAAATTTCTTGTTTCACTATAAAACATCATGGTGACTATACATTTAGTTTTCTTCAAATCTATAATACAGAAATACATCTGAAGTCATTTTATGGCTTTTGTTGATGTTCGATGCACTAACATTTGGATATTTACATCTACACAGGGTTCCCACTCTTTCATGAACACCAGATTCAAGGACTTTTTAAAGCACTATTTATTTAATTTCAAGCACCTATCAAATTCACACCCCAGCATATGTAGCATCATGAAAGACCTGTTACAGTACTTAACTTTTCACTTACACTTAACATTTACATGAAACATTTCAGAGTAATGAGGTTTTGAATGTGTAGGTTTCATAAATGTAGACCACTTTGAGCAGTCGTGTTCAAAGGAATTTAATTACATCCATTGAAGTCAATGGAGTTCACACTGGTAATATTAAAATACAATTTCTCAAATATTAATAAAAATATATATTCTTGCATCAAACTGGTTTTTGCTGTAATTCTTGTAAAAGATTTAAATTTGAGAGAATTTCTCAATTTTTAAATTAATAAAAAGTGGTTAAACAGGGCTCTACGCGTACTTTTCTTTTAAAATAAAAACAATTTTTAGGAGCACAGTCAAACATTTCAGGAGCACCTTCTAATCAATAATCAAATTCTGATCAAATATTAGCCTTCCCATTACGAGATGATATTTGACTCAAAGTGATTTACAGGAAATTTTGCTTTTACACCTTTGTAATGGCATTTTTCTAACTTTATTAAAAGTATGTCATCTTTAATGTCAAATTCAAAAGAATTATATTTATAATCTTTTTAAAATTTCTAATTAAAACAACAGAATAAAATCAAGTAGAATAAGAATAAGTTACCAATCAAATAAAATCAGTATTAAAAAAATAATTTGTACCACAGAGGTGGCACAGAAGATTACAAAAGTGGCTTGTAGGTGTATTTTCAGATGTTTAATGAAGCTCA